ATTTAAATTTTATGAAATCAAGTACATCTCTTCCATCCGAGGCATACATTTTATGATGACGTACTGTTTCTAAAAAGACATTTCAGTGGACCTCTCAAGACCTTGCGCCTGAAAAAGATCTATAAACTCCATTGTGGCTTAAAGGATAAAGAAATATTTTCAAATATAAGATAATGAACATATTCAGAATGGAATATTAGAAGAAGCTGGTGAAGCCATGAAAACATTACTTCAACCGAGAAGTTAGGATCAGTATGAGGGAGAATACAAGTTGTGTAAATATTGGAAAGTAAAATGATTCTGATTCAGTCTTGCTAGCGTAGATTTTAGAATGGCTAACCGCTCTACCGTTTACATTTATTACATTTGTAATACGCTATGGTCAAGTAATTTACATGTAAAATATTTAGTTTATCTATGTTAAATATTTTATTTTGTCCCTCAGTCAGTGAAATGAACGACCGTTTTACTTCATTTTGTTTTGTTCGTTCGTTGTTTATAAGTAGGTGTAGGTACATAATCAGTGAGGTACATTATTGTTCATATTTATGGCCGACTGGAAATACCTTGCCCGTACCTGTGTTATAGTGACTTAATTAACCGAATTTAATACTTTTTCTGAATTCGTATTGGTAGTTGTAGAATTTTAATCGCACGATTATTTTTTAATTGTACGCGTACTATTTTTCTAGTGATATTAAACCAACAACCAAAATTTTTAAGTAGTTAATAAGCATATTTAGTTAACTAAACGAAAAAATAAAATTATTTTGATTTTAAAGTTGTGTTTCTTCATCGAAAGTACGCAGGGTTTTTTTTTATCTTCCCCATCGTATCCTATTTTTAAGAATTCATTATATTAATAATTATTTTTATTTTTATCGTCTCAATTAGTCCCTTCCTCTTCATTTCAATAAACCAAATTATAGACAACCGAAAGAAGATTTCCACCTTGACTCCGTTCTTGCAACCCGCAGAGCATAGATGTACAACTGATTGCATGCCTATTGCAAAAGGTGTTCTTGCACATGATTGACTTCCAAATTTTGCAGAAGCAAATGTAATCATCTTCCAAACTAGTGCATTAATTAAGACATTGAATCAGTAACAGCGTTTCCTGATGAATGAAAAGGTGCTGCTTTTATATTCTTTATTAGTGGATAATTCAGTAGAATATGTTCAGAGACTACCCATCTTAAGAAATATGTAAGAGCGTACAATTCGTTTTTAGAACTCAATCTTTCGTAGATCAAATAAGGAGGAGGGATACTCACGTTCAATAATCAATTGGATGAGTTGGTGTACTCTCTAGCTACGTTTCTTCCAATCTCTTAAGAGCTGCAAAGGAGATATAATGTTCAATTATGAAATGAATGAGTCCGTGCCCGAGTCCGTGCGCTGAGGCAGGATATGGCAAAACGAGACGAGACAGAGGAGAAGAGGTGGTGGACGGCATCAAAGCCCAATAACCGGCAAGCCGAAGCGTGTAAGAGAGGCCAGTGGGCCGAGAGATGGGCTCGGAATGCAATTAATGGTGCCTTAGGCAGCGGGATTGCTCACCTCTCACTTCCCATACCTCAGCTGCTAGCGCTTCTTCACAAATCAATGGACGAAACAGGCAACGCCAAAGGGCAATGACAACGTTAAGCAGAAGTCGCAAAATCCTCAACTTATACGTCATCGTTGTATTCCTTCATCTGTATCAAAAAATGTTTTGAAGACTGAGGAAATAAAAGAAAAGAGGAAAGCTAGAATAACGGACTAAACATCATTAATTATTTGATTTTCCGTCGCTCATCTTAGCTGGAAGCGAATTCTTCCTTTTTTATGTGCACTAAATTTCCCAGTCCGAAACTTGTGACCTTATTGAGTGTGAAATATTGATGTGTGAAAAATTTTTAAATCAACCTCTAGTAAAAGCAGTTACTTTTAACGTATGCGAAGCGTGCTAAAAATTCAATTTTTCTACGATCTTTTAAAAATGCGGATTCTACGTGCTGCTGGGCGTTCGTAAGGTTAATCTTTGCTTAACACGTTTGAAAAAACATGTCTTCACCTAGCGTAAAAGTAACTGCGACATTTTTCACGTTGACGTCACAGAGCGAAAATAGTACTTTATGGAATTACTTTAACAAGTTACGTTTTATTGCATGAGTAGCCATCAAGTTTTGACCAATCTCTACGAATACAATAATGCAACATTACAAACGAGAATCAAATTTAGTTATGCGAAACGACTTTCTTGTGACGTCTTGGGTATTTCACATCTGTGCGAGAAAACGATGGTCGGCTGTTCCGACTTCAATTCTCTCGCTGCGATTGGCTGAATTTGTGATCCCGCAATCATCGTACGTTAAAATGCTAATTCGTCATCATTTGTGCTTTAAAATGCCCAAATATGAACGATTTCTTGCAACAGAAAATGTAATTTATAAGGTTGGTATACACGAAAGACTTACGTAAGGCAGCTAGGTTACAAGGGAAACAATCAAAAAAAACAGAAATATACGGAATATAATATACAAAACATAATACTCTTACAGTATTTACAACAAAGTACGCGTAGATAAAGAAAGTAATGTGATATACATATCTTAACCCCCTATCAAGAAAATTCCGTTTTCAACAGAATCTTTTATGAAATTGGAGAAGTCTTCCCTTGAAAATAGTATATAAAGAACAAAAAATAAACAAAACATTAGAAATACTTCATCTGTCCACTCAAATAATTTATGGGCTTTGTAATTGAATATTGACCTGCTTGTTTACTGACTCGAACGGCAGTCTCTTAACCGTAACCATGTGACGGCCCAAAAATTGCCATTCTGCAGATACTCCAAAATCGCCTTCGTGGAGGAAACTTTTATTATTTTTTTTTCATTCGTGTATTGTGCACTTGAACCATGGACGAAGTAAATAATTTTCCGACATGAATCACCAATTCGCAAATCTAACGACGCCTCTAAATCAAGTTTCACTAGTAAATCGTTTTTCGATCGATTCGTCGATTTTCTCTTTTTCAAACCGTAACCAGAAAGATTAAATGGTTTGAGACGTGTCTCTCACGGTGAGTACCATTCATGCCACAGTGTACACACGATTCATAGCACAAATTCCAGCACTTTTCACTTTACAAGTTTTGTATTACGCCTGATGCTCAGAAAATTTTACTTGCATCCCTTCACAAGAGGTTTGTTGTATTTTACAAGCAAGGTGAGAAGGGCGCTCCATCCCTAGGACACAAAGCGACCCGGCAGTAAAATTGGTTTCGCTGCTACGATGAAAAATCAGTGGTTGTATTCGTTTCGCTGTCACCCATCCCATCTGGGGGCAGAATGAACATCTGAGATACTAATATTTCGTGAAACCCGGGGGTTCGGTGCACTCAAGAAGAAGGCTGCTCAGAGAAATTGTATACTTAGCTTATACGAGTTCATTGGCCCAGTTGCGGCGACCTCGTCAGAGAAAGCGAGTTGTTCATGCATTCGATCGCCCTTTGCCTTCGAACGCCCCAGCGAACGGCGGCGCGGCAGAGAGCCAGCGCCAGCTTCCGGCGCCGACCGCGATCCGCGCGCGCTCTCGCGGTCGTCGCGTGACCCCGTTGGCGCGTGACGAACGGCGGGGGGCGAGGGCCGTCGGCGCGCTACGCTCAAACGCGCGCTCCGGCAGGCGCGCCAAACCCCGCCCCGGCGGCCACAGCCATAGCCAGCGCAAGCGCCAACGCCAACGCCAATGGATGTAAGGAGATGGAAAAAATAAAACGTTACATCGTTTATTTCAATTTGCAGGGAATGTTTTGTAGAATGATGCATTGACGATTTCTCCCCAACTTTCGCGCCAAATGACGGAAGTTCCAGACTTAATATTTCTTAATAACCTCGCATACAACAATAAAAGCGAATGAGAACATAACGCCGATTCTGATGGCATGCATTCTTTTCTTATTTCTTCTTAATATATTGAGTTAATGTGATCTTGTAGGCTTTAAGGCTTAAGGAAGTTTAAAACGGAGAGAGAGAGATGCAGAACAAAGGCGCTCAACGCTTGCGAGTCATCTTTCCATTCCCTGATGCCATTTGCTCGTGAGGCCTGCCTCCACTAGCGCGATGTTTATCCTGTAGATGTGAATAATCATTACAAACGTTGTAGAGGTCAAATGTAAATTGCAAGAAAACTTCATATTCTCAGACGAAATTCAATTCCGTATCAACACGGCATCAGGTGTTAAATGCGACCTCCTTTTCATAAGCATTCGAAATGAACTGCTTTCGACAGACACCAAAAGCTTGAGCAAACTCTCGCAGAGCTCGTGGGTGCACTGCCAGCCGTCATGTGTGGGCAAAGGAAATGACACTAGCGAAGCCTCATCCGCCAATTCGAACGTCTTAGCAACAGCGCCGCAGCAGGATAGTTTTAGGATGCGCAAACGCTTGGCACTAGCCCTCAAGTTTCACACCGCTTCATGACTTTACACACCATTGTCTTTTAGTATAAGTTTGTATGCTTCACGTTCATTTGGACTGACTTGTTTCTCGGACAGTACGATTAACATTGGCGCAGGTCTCGTTTTCGTTGTTCACTTCGAATTTTCGAAAATTGCAAAACTTGTTTTATTTATTTATTTTAGTGTGTCTTCCTACCACTACTATATCGAAGATATTTTTTTCTTAATGAAATCTGGTCTTCAAAGATCATTAAAATAACTCATTCTCATTTTTTTTTCTTTGCTTAAAGTGAAAACGATTAAAACTGTTTTTCAAAAACGAATTCAATATATTTTCTTGAAAAGAACAAAGTACGCTTATCAAAATGGTCTTCAAAACGCTTATCAAATACAGGTCTCATTTTTGTTGAATTCTCTGAATTTTCTAAAGTTGCAAAAGTTACAAGTAATGCGAGAAAGTATGTGATGTTGAGACACCACTTGTTTTCTCTCTGGTTCACAATTTTCTTCATTTCTTCCTTTTTCGCCCTTTTTGTTTTTACTTCCCCTTTTCGCTCTATTCCGTATTTTTTTCTTCTCGAACGCTTTTGGACTGCCCGGTGGCACTATTTTCGCGCATCAAGCATAGACAAGCTAACTGGGCTTTGCCAACCACCCATTCGCGGCGCGTTGCGTGCGGAAAATCGCGCTGCTTCGCGTGGTAACGCTTTGCTTCAGGCCGGTTGCGGTCGCACAGCGGAAGCGCCCAAGGTCGGTGCGGCTGCGGAGGCTGCTCCCACACGTCTCTCTCTTGGTTGCTCCTTAGTGACGGCTTACGCCAATATTCTTGTTGGCGCTACAACCAAAAAGTTACGAATATAAATATATTTAGTTAGGTGGCATGTTACAGTTGCATTATTGCTCTAGTAAGTTATTAATAATCACAATAAAATTTTATTGCATCAGATAAAAGCCCAGACATATGATACCCCAAAAATGGTGAACGAGTAAAAATGCAAGATCGGTTCATCTGATGAAAATGAAAGACGCGTAAATGTAAGGTACGTAAATGTACGCGTCCGTTCATCGTTCGAAAATGTATGCGTTTGCTGAATGTCCTCCTTGTGAAGTGAGTGCCACTCATCCGCTGAAGCAGTGAGAATACAGAGAGAGCTATTCGCAAACGGATGGGTTCCTTGATACGCCACCCCACCTCATTTATTGTTAAACAACCAGCGTCTCCAGCTAAAGACACTAGTGGCCACTGGTGTCTTTACGGAATAGGCTTACAGTGACTGGGCTTGGCAAAATGGGTGAGGGAGAATACTATTTCAAGCCAGCAGGCTTGAGGCTTCACTTTGAAGCAAGAATTGAGTCGACGAATTAAGCCGGGAATGAGACAGATTGATACGAGATGATGAGAGGGAATTATGACAGCAAAAAGACAACTAAAGGAAACGAAAAGACACAAAAAATCTTCGTACAGCTCTTAACGCTCACAAGAATTAATGTGCAAAACCTGTAGCAAAATAAACAAAATGAAGTTATGTATCCCGCCAAATACACACCACTACAATCTAAACCAAATCAAACACTTTTAAGATTTTTTCTCAATACCGCAGATATCACTACTTTTAAATAAAACGCTTAACCAGCTGTGAGTAAAATAGGAATGAATATACAAAACAAAATTATTTTCACAGACAAAATTTATGTACAGTTTGATTTACGGAGAAAATATAATTCTTTTGATGTGAAACCCTTTGCACGAGCGTCATGAATAACTCTTAGCTGAATATGCCATAATTACTTATGATCGAGTAATTTTAATGATATCTTTCACACTAAAATCTCTTATCACTGATGAACAAATGTACTATATATAAATAGTTTTTAAAAGTGTCTTTGACCAAAGCTTAGTTGAAGTTCAAATAACCATGACTATCATTTACTGAGAAGTACTACTAGTAACTTTCAAAAACCCGTTTAACCGATGAACACTTCAAAATACTCATCAGAAAAATCATGGCACATTTTTCTCTTTCATGTTCTTAGGCACAGATCATAATCAGATCACTTGGTTTGATACGACTAACTTTAAACGCCACACAAAATTGGTAAAAATGTGTAATTTATATTTTTATAGGAAATTAAAGTTTATTAATGTTCACTTTGCATATACCACTGCAATGACAGTCTACTTCGATTTCACTCCAAGGTAATAATGACCTACGTCTTAGGAGAAGCTGTTGGAAAGAAAAATGTATTGCTTAATTTCGACGGACTTTCGGTGGCATTATTTAAGGATGAAATATGAAATAGAATGGAAAGAAACGCACCAAGTCATTCTCCTTAAATATACAAGATGCGTAAATAGGAGGAAAAGAGTGAACAGTAAATTGTATATCTAATGATTAATTCAAAAGAAAATACAAATGAAAACTATCTCACATCTTGCCATGAATGATGCACCGCTTGTTCACATTAAGAGTGCTAAAGAAAGCAAAACATGGAAAGGAAATGTAGCATATTTAACCCAAATGCTCGTCCTAGTCCTGAGCCCGGCAGCAAATGGGTTGTGCGTTTCATCTGAGGCATTCGTGGGAGGGTAATGGCCACGGTTGCCGCGCACAGCGTCGCCTCCACTTCGCTCCACTCCGCTCCGCCGAGCCGCGCCCGCCCTCCCTCGCCATAGCCGCGGGCGATTTCTCTGATGGGTGCTATTGCGGCGCCATGCCACAGTAATGGAAGCTCTCCGCCCCCTCCCAACGGACGGCTGGGTAGTGGGAGGGGTGTCACGCACCAACCGCTACTGGAGATCAACATTTTTTACTCTGAAAGAGTGTGTGGGGCAGGAGCAAGTTGACTTCCTTCAGTGTTATTAAATCAAACTTAGAAGAATCTAGTCTTCTATAGCCGCCTCAATTGCAGAAATGTTAATTAGCACCGACCCCTTTTTTTGCTAGAATATTAATGTCATTTTCAACATTTTTACTTAATAATTGATCGCAACATTTTATTTTCCCCACAGGAGTTAAATGTAATCAAGTACTGACTTTAATGTACGCACAAACCCGAATCGAAACATCACATTTTTCCAAATGATAATTTCTTAACATAAAACAATATAGACATAGAATAGTAACCTGAAGTAGAGTATCGGAAAATAAATTACAAAGTCAAACTTCGTACTGACACTAAAGTGTAGGTGTAACGGTACAAAGAAAATCCTATTTGAATTCCTACTAAGCCTGAAGTCGCACCCGCGACATGTAGCTTTTAGGCTTTTTTTAAGCCCGTGCATATAGATTTAGAAGTGTGAATCGAATTTATCATTATTTTGTAAGTATTATTATCATCATCATCATTATTATTATTATTATTTATTATTACTACTACTATTATTATTATTATTATTATTATTATTATTTTATTATTATTATTATTAATTACTATTGTTCCCAGCAGTTCACAAAATTTGAATTGCACACGAAAGAGAAGAAGAAGAAGGCAACACACCGTAAATAATAACAGTCTCACTAGAATGGTGAGCATTTAATTCTCGTGTTATATCGAAGCGTGTGCAAGAACGACAGAGTTGCGGCAGCCGAGAATTCCTGCGAGCGGAAGCTGGAAAGCCCGGCGGAGGCGACGCGGGCTGAAGCAACGAGAGTTGCGTCGGAGAGGTTTGGAGGGGCCTGGAAGGAGTGTGGGCGGAGCAGTGGATGGAGAGAAGGTGACAACGAAAAGAGGCTCCTGGTGACAGTGGAGAGCGAGTGAAGCACCGTCTTGCCACTGCCCCGGTCGCATTGTGCACAGAAGCAGCGCTGCTCTCTTCTCTGCCTCGACTTCGCGATGCACTGCGCCCGGAATATAAAGCAACTGCACAGTTGACATTGACGTCAGGGACGAGAAAAACAACATTCATTGAGCATTTTCTAGATCAACATGTAAACTATTGCAAGTTAACAGTAATCAATTCCATAGATACAAACTCCACCATTCGTTCTACAGTGATATTTTTATCTCAAAAATAGCCGTTCCTATGAAGTAATTAATGTATTTTCTTTAACAGCGGCCTCACAAATATTTACAGTAAGATATCAACATAATATGACTTTCTAAAATGAAGTCGTCGATATTCTAAAGAAAAACGCGGGTTCTTTACTCGAAAGATGAGCACCAAAATCAAAATGCATAGGAAAAGAGCGACGTAATGTTGGTTTTCTTTAAAACATGACTTTCCTTAAAACATGGCTTCAAACATGACATTTCTTGTTTATAAGTACTGGTGTGCCAAATTGTAATTCGTCAATAACACTTGACATGTGTAATCATACAGGTACCTGCGAAACATTATAAAGTCAGTGCCAAATCCATTATGATCATTAAATCGCCTACAGTGGGTGGCCAAATTCATATACCCAAAATAAAATTTATTTTTAACTGATACAGTTTTGTTTAAGAGAGAAAACGCCAATCCTTTTTGAAAGTTAGTTAAAAAGGTTTTTTAATAGCATGCTACCTTTGACAACAAAAAGGTCGACATTTTTACCTACGAATATTACCATGAAGTAAAGTAGAAATTTCACGGATCGTCAGTTTCATGCAAAGACGTTCTCCGTTCCGCTAACACTCTACGTTAATAAAATGACACAATCTGACACCCTTGTTTTCGACACGCATTTACTCACATACATATATACTCTCGTTTCCTACAAAATTATGCACTCAAGTAGTCTCAAAGAGCCCAAAAGTAGTCTCGTGCAGAAAGTTGAAATCTTGTCTGAAAAATCTTACTTAGATCTTTCAGACAATATATTGCCACTACTTGCCCTTGCTAGTGTAAAGATGCCGCCGCAAGAAGCAAAAAAAATTGCTGAAAGATATTGCGGAAACGTATTGCTAATGTAAGGCCAGCTTAAGCAGCAGTGTTATCGATTGCAAAATAAATATAATATAATTAAGAAGATTACTAGAATACATCGGCCTCCAAAGGCGCCCCCGTGCCTCCGAAATGAATGACATAAACGAATGTGAATTCTCATGTGGTGGGTCCCAGCGCATTGCGTATTTTGTTAATGTAGAATCCAATTGAGCGAAAATACTTGAGTAGGACAGTGAAACACTTGTACTGACAGTAATGTAGTAACAGTAGATTCCAATACAACTTACACATTTAAATATACCTAGATACGTCAATACATTACGAATTTCGTCTATTATTAAATTACAGATAGTTACAAATTACAGATAGTTACAACTATACAATGTAAACCCGTTCAAGGAATAAATATGTTCCAGGAAAAACATTGTTAAAAAATGACTGAGACTTAAAGCAAATACGTACAGAACGTCTTAATCATTTCTTCCGGAAGGTCTGAAATAAATATGTACTTTCTCATATTTATCTACACTTACATATTTACTTACCTTTAGGAAACACAAAGCAATGTACTTTGCAGGGATATCTCCATATTGTTATACTCCATTCGATAAGCACCATTGTGTTTCTCCGAGCAGTTGGCGGAAAGAAGCGAAGAGCGTCTAGTATGTAGCGAAACAGAATGCCTAGGGAAGTTACGGTGGGCGTGGGCATGAGGAGGAGGAGGGGGATTTGAAGGCGAAGTCAGGAGAGGGGAGGGAGGGGAGATCAGCAAATGCCACCTGCGGGCGCTGCGCCTCCTTCCGCCCAACCCGGCGTCGTCGCCGCTCCGGCCCCGCGCCCCGCCACGCCTGCGCCGGGCGAAATAGGTCGGCGAGCGCGTTTGCAAAAGGTCGTCAGCGCCCTTAATCCGAGCTTTACGGCTCCGCTCCCCCTCCTTCGGCCCCTCGTTCCCGTCGACTCCCTCGGCC